GAAGGAGATATTTCAGATGCCGAGACCGAATCCACAAGGCACGGGCGAAAGGCACGAAAAGGACAAGACGAGACCTGGTCGAGCCAAGGGCAAAAGAAAGGGCTGCAATGGGGCGAGCTAGAGTTAACGCTGCAAGGCGAATCAGTGGTCCGGTTGTTCTGGACCTTGAGCAGGCCGTGAATACCTAGTTTGCGATCGTCGGTAATGCCAGCGCCGGCAGCGTAGTTGAAGGCGCTATCTACGTCATGCCGCTGCGGAGTCTGCTCGATAACCGATCAGCTATTCGTATCTAGGGTAGTATACTGCACCAATCAGTTGGCAGAGATGTGGAAGCTTCGTAGTCGCTGAGCAGGTTAGAAAGGAAAGGACGAGTACTCAGGGCAAGGGGACGATTTGGTAGCTCATTCTGGGTATGTTGGTACTCGCTCGCCCGTCATAACGGATCTGAGGCTGAGCATGAGCTGCCTGTAGCACTGCAACTTTGCTTTCTCCCTCTAAAAGCTAAGTGTTGTTAAGGTCTAGTTACATTATGGGGTGTAAGCTCTAGACTCCTAACTGCTATGTCTTGCCTGGGATTCAACCGGCCATGTAACATGCCGATTTACTAACTGAAATGGTTGACTCTAGTCAATTAGGAGGTCGTATTCCATCCGTATCTGGACGAAGAGCCGTCCCATCACAACCCTCCGCTGTCCGGTCCCGTGACTCCCGTCGGCTCACGCCTGTCCCGCCAGCAAAGTCCTCTTACGGCACGGCTCAGGTCCGCCGGGGCGCTGCAACATGCATGTTCTGGGATAGAAAAGACAGGAAGCCATACTGTAATATGCATTTTGTTTGCTGCATTTGCATTTCTTACGTAGGAGGTAGTTTTCCCTCAAAGCACCATCAACAGCGGAGTTCCCCACCGTAGAGTTACGATAAGGCTGGATGAATCTCCAGTTCAGGATAGGTATCTAAATTACTTATGAGTCCCCAGATACGACCGGATGTCGCCGGATATACTACATTCCTGCGCCAATGAAGAGGCACGGGAGAGTCATGTCTCCGCCCATGCGTAAAGTAATTCTGTATCGATCAGATTCTCTCCATGCCCCCCGCTATCAACTCTCTGTTGATATTTTCAGCAAGGTAGGTATATCGGCCAATTCATAGCAAAAGCTTAGATACAGGCGGAATATTCGAGTAGATTTGTCTCTATGTGTATTTTCCTTCTACCAGTACGTCAGTCTGATTTGCATGACAAACAAGTCCACGTGGTACCCGACAATGGACCGAGAGTCCCAGCGGTCGGCTGCGGCACGTGCGGGGAAATAAACCTTAGATGTCGGTAACATCATACCGAGAGACAGTGAATATTCTTTTTTAAAGCTTGAAGGAAGAGAGCTTTGGGCAGCTCATTCGGACTTAAGAACGGTGTTGAGTCATGACCCCTGTTGCCAATGACGACTGATTCGTCGTGTAAAATTTGAAGGCTAGATAACTATGAGTAATGCGTCGTGAAGTTGGGAAAGCTGTTGGGGTGGCTTCTAATATCGTGGGTTGCCATTGCGAGGTGAAAAAGGCCAAAGACGAAAGGAGGCTTTAAGTTGGTGTTTCGTGGTTTGAGTTCGAAGAGATGAAGAAACAGATGAGAGAACCAAGTGATGTAAGTGGTATCATGAAGAGGGAATCAAAGGGCGCAGACTACAGTATCTTATAGGTGTAGTCAAGTGTAGACCTGCTCCTGAGATCGTTTTCTAACTAGTAAATACATCAGAAAAGCTTCTTAAGTCCGAAACGGCTTTTCTCACAGGTGACTCTATAAACTTTCATGAATGCTAGAGGAGACGTATACTCAGTGGAATATTTGCCTCGCATCGGCAACCTAAGTTAGGTGGCTTTCTTGCCAGACCGCGCGTCCCATATCCGCGGCGCATGTAGCTACCTACATTCGGCGGTGCAGTGAGTCCTCGTCACAGAGCTTCCAAGCGGTCTCTGTGTGAAAATGGGCGGTCCGCACTTCTCGTAGCTTTGGCATGGCTGACAGTATGTCGTATTAGTATATCACGTGGCCCTTCCACAGGGAAAGGCTTTTTGATGGAGATGAGGTTCAACGGAATAGAGATAGCATGCGTAGGGTTTCGATCCCGCCGTGACCATAGATGTGCGAAGGCTTTCCGCTGAAAGGGAGCTAGCGAGTAGGGGTCATATAACACAATAATTCTTGTCAAGTTGTTACCCTTCTAGGTTCACGACAGAACCTCTTCTCTCATATGAGTCCGTGAGACCCGAGTCGCTATCAGACTGACAGAACAACGCACTTTCCTTCTCCGTGATATCTGATCTACCGCCGCGGGTAAAGGGGCAACGCCAAATGGTTTGGTGTAATTATTATTGTAATTTTCTGTAGCTCTGAAAAAATTTGTTCTCCGCTCGCCGAAGCATTTATTAATACCTATACCGTTCCCAGCAAAACAACAGTCTTTTCTCGACGGCCTAGATCTCATTTCCCGCTGCGCTCCGATATTTTGGCTCCATAGCCGAATTAATTACATTATTCCGTCGTAGACAAGGCAAGGCAAGGACAGGGATTGAAGCAACGGGTCTTCTCTGAACCATGTATACCACAAATTTGTTTTGTACGCTTTAACGGACTTTTTTTTCCCCAGCACTTTTAAACTCAGCCCAGTTGGCGACGGGCTGCATTGGCAATGTAATTCTGTATAACGTTGCTATTGCACTCGGAATGCCGCAAAATCTCATTCTTCAAGACTAGTATCTCCTCGCGCAGGCTGCTCACGCAGCCGAGCAGCATCCGATTTCGTCGGCCCAGGTCTTTCTCGCGTCGTTGCAGATCAGCAACGTTCTTCTTTGCCTTTTGTCGACATTTCCGGGCCGCGACCCGATTCCTTTCTCGATGCTGCTTGATCTCTGACCTCTCGGTGTAGTCCGCTAGACCCATCGATCCAGGCAAAGCCTCGCCCGGCGCGCTGAACGTTGTTCCGAGAAAAGCTTCGGCGCCTGGATATTGATGATCAGGTATGACACCCGCCATATGCATCGGATGTACTTGATCAAGGGATTGCCCGACGTTTCGGCCTTGGGCAGCTAGTGAAGGGTCCTCGGATTCACCTCCGAGCTGTAGCCCGATGCCAAATTCCTAACAAAGAGTCAGGGGTGTCGGGGCTGAAGACAAGGGTTTGCAACTGACGGCCCGAAACGCCGGATCCGGGAGTATCATTGAACTCACATCGTTCGAGACACACAGCCTGTCAGCATCCGGCGATGTGACATACGATGCCTTCTTCCCTAAATTTCGCAAGTTTCGCCGTGGACCATACCCCACATTTTCGAATGGATGAGTCCAGGGAAGCTCTAGCATGGGCGGACCACCGCGTTGATATGGCGTGTTGAGCAATGAGAGGTTCAAACGGGCGTCATTTTCTGGTCTTTGACTGATGAGGATCGCTTGGTTCATGGCGAGCGAACCGGGATAGAGGGTGGCCATCCAAGGTATCAAGTGCTGAAATAATCGCTGTATTCACCTGGTTGTAGAGCATTGAAGTCTTCGGATAGTTCACAAACAAGAAGAAGTTGTCCTTGATCTGGTCACGGAACAGTGATATGGAAAACGGCACGAAGTGTGATCTCAACGTCAAAATAGGCAACCCGCAATAATACTGATAAAGGTGGCCAACGAATTTAGTTGTAGGCGACGTCTGGTGGATTAACGGCGCCTTAGTAGAGCCAGCCCTTTGGGGTTAAGAAACGCGACGGCGAGTCATCGAGCTCTCTCCAGAAAGAGCTTGAAGCAACACGCGAGCTAGCCAATCGTACTAACGTTGGTCTTTTCCTTTAGAGCAAGTTCTGTCAGGGACTCAGGGTGCTCTACCTATACGTCTACGGATCCGTAGTCAGCACGATACTGGCTGGGTAAGTGGATTTATACGATGTCAGCAACCTTGATCACACTGCCATCTACCCATCCATTTCCCAGGGCTCCTTGATACGACAGCGTAATACTGGATACTGATGGCCCAGGGATGATAGTTCCACGGTTGTGCCCAGATCAGATACTTGATATAAAAAAGAGGCGAGCAGATAAGGATCCTGATCCCGTTCCATTTCCGGCCCGATACTCTATTTTTAGTCTCGATTTTCTAAGCTTTAAGCAAAACTAACTTCGATGGCATCTTTGGGACTGTGCCTTTATTTGCTGTGATGTCATGGGTGTGTGAGCGTACGACGTTCCGGGTACCCAGCTAAAGGCCCACCACTACTCGAGGAGCCAGGAAGAGGCTGTAGGTAGTTGTTGACTACTACCTATTGGGAGTACGTATGTTATCATGTAGGTAATTAATTGGCTAGCAACGAAGGCCCGGCATTCCGTAGCCTCCCGAAGGCCATGTGGGCGTGCTGAGGCTGGGTTTCTATACGACGTTTAGCATTCTGTGTCGGCAGATTTGTTGATGTCCCCGGAGCCTCTCCAGCCACACTCGCCTTATAGTCCATGTGTAGGTTGTCTAGGTAGTGGATGCAACCTTAATAAGAACAGGAGATCTTCGCCTACCTATTCGACGTATCAAAAGTGGATCACCGCGAAAAAAAAACTTCCGGCCTCACATAAAAGTATACCTAGGTAGGTTTGCATTTCGGGGTTGAAGGAACCGAGTCGACGGCGATCCAAGTGTTCGCGCGATGGTCGATGCAGCAGCGGCAGAGTGGCACGTGATTTAAAATTTAATTTGTACATCTGGCCAATCGCTTCTAGCCTCAGCATTGAGCAATGGAGGCGCTCCAGTGCGAGATCAGGGTTGGCTGAATAGCCTCCAAAAAGAAGTGACAAGACTGGCTGGCAAAACATTGTCGGAGCACGATAAAATGTAGGGAGATAGGGAGACAAAGCGAATGAGAAGCCGGCATTGGCCGAGCCTCCCATCAAAATTGTGCGACAGGGATAGGCAGGGAGCAAAGACTCTGGATTATATAACCATTGAAGGCGGGCTGACAATACACACACAGGCCAGGTGGCGGAGTGGTTAACGCGGTAGACTCGAATTAGCTTGTACATCAAGTTAGTCAGCCATCTACTTCCTTCGGGAGCGTCTGTTCGAATCAGGCCCTGGTCGAAACTTTTGTTATTTTTTTTTTGGTTTTATTTTTTTATTTTTTATTTTTTAACCTTCGTCAAAACATTAGTAATCTCTGGCTAGTGCGCGATCGGACGTCTATTTTCGCATGTAGCATACGTACCTTGTGCTTTTCCCGTATCAAACACACAAGAATGCTGCCAGTGTTCAAGTTCATTGGGGATTCAGACCGTCACGGCGTCGCTGCGATGCGTTAAGCCGTGTGGCACCATTATTGCCGGCCGTAAGGTTGACTGAGAAATTCAGCGCCTCCCACAGCCAGTCACACCGACCTCTGTGTGGCTTTGCGAAAACAAAAATGCGCAAATCATGCGTATTGGAGGATCCACTCGCGGTGAACCCTCTGCATCATGTTTTATAACGCTGTCACAGCCACCGACTAGGCAGACCAGCTTCGTCTCGCGGATTGGCCTCTTAATAAATCCGCGCACCTGTAGATCATTCGAATCGCGATGACCCGGCTTCGAAATAAGTTGGCTGGCCAGCATTCTACCCGAATCGATTATGTATCTGCCAGGGATGGTCCACCTATGTGATGAACGGCTCTTCATTACGAAAAGAACTAGCGGAGTCCTTTCGCTATTGACTCAAAGACCGCCATGCTCTTTGATGACTGGGTATAGTGGGTGCGACGTGGTGTCTGTGTTCGGTGACTCGCGCACCTGTCAAGTTTTCATGGAGCTCGAGATGCATGTTAGTACGACGTAGGCTCAGTGACTCTCATAAGTCACAACCGTTTTCCCGGGTCCGCGACTGTGGAGTGAGGTGACATATGCATTCTGAGGTTGAACGAGAAGAGGAGACTGCTCGGCAAACATTCCATATGTGCGCCTTGCGTTATGTGTGGCAAGTGCGAAGACGTAGTCATGTGTCGTGGGCGTTTTTTTCAAAGGGCAGTTGACACATTTCTCCGGATCAACATGCCCCAAAGCAGTTTTCATCTCTACCCGTATCTCTAAGTACATACAGACTCAGGTCCCGCTCTCAATGAGTTGACATAGCTTTCAAGGCGTGCTTTTATGGGGCAAAGTCATTAACGGCAATATGACTAGCACTGGGTCGCCATCGTCCTCCCCCTTCCAGAAACGAGAATGTCTCATCGAACTCTGAGTTCAGACTAGAATGCGCTCATGATTGCATTCTCATTTTGAAAACGCGCACGTGCTGAGGTACGCCTTCTCGGCCTGCGCCGTCGACCTCGTCCATTCCCGCGAAAAAAGTCGGGCTCGCGTTCCGGCGTATGAAGACCCATCGCTTGGATCATCATTGCTTTAGTCGAGAGGTTTAATCTAGACAGAATCCTCATTGCGAAATGCGCGCGCGGCATCTGAACGGGGTTCTCGGCCTCAATCGTCTCAAACCGGTCGATGAAGTCCTCCATGGACTCGTTTTCTTCCTGGAAGGCCCTGTCGCCCTCCATAGCGCATACCAGCAATCGGGTGCCGTCGTCCAGCAAATTATCTTTAAGCCACTGCTCGAAAGTCGCCCACGAAATTGTAGTCGGATCATTGTTATACTCTGTCGCCACCCAAGTGGTATATTGCCGCATGGCCCGATCCTCTAGGAACATGGAGGCGTAACAAACTTTATAAAAGTCATTTACAAGATAAACGTCGAGCAAGTAAAAGCGAGCGTGCATGTCGCGAAGAAAGATATCAAGCTCCGAGCGCGATCTGCCCCTGTAGCCAGCCGGCTGTGGCAGGTCCAAGTTGTAATGACTTTCCCGCCGCCCCTTTACTTTCCGCCCCATTTCTTGTTCTCCCGACTCGGAGCTTGGTAGCGGTATGTCTTGGTTGTTCGAAAGCCTACCGAGTATTCGTATCTTCTTCATCAGGGCCACTTCGAGCTTTCTTTCATCCAATTGACGCTCGAATTGGTCAAGTTGTTCGAGTGTCATGGCACCGTTACTCATGTTCCAAAGCTCGGAGTTCTCTCGGTTCTCTCGGTTCTCTCGGTTCCCTCCATTACCCCGACCAGTAGTAGTGGTGCCCATGGTGGAATTGGATCTTGACATTATCCTGGAGGATTGCAAGGAGGTTTGATCAAAGAGTGGATGGAAGGTTCGTCGCAGCTAGATAGCCGTATTCATTGGGTTCAATAGAGCTGGTCAATTGTTATTTCAAAGGTTAATTTCAGGTACGGTCACATCTGGAGAAGGCAGACCTACACTATCTACGGATCCGTAGCTAGCGTAGGGTTCCGGTGGTGTACGAAGTGGTAGTAGATATAGGATAGGTTTACCACAGGTACGTGTACCTACCATACCTACGGTGGCTAATCCATCGCGTAGCTAAGACCAGGTAGGTAAGTGATGCAGCTGAACTCCAGTACTTTCATCGACGGTAGGTATCAGTATCAGTCGGCCGCTTGATGGTGTAAGGCATCTACGAAGTAGTGTACCTAGGTACCTAACACCACGCCAGGTTCAGGGAGTCAGATGATTACTGTAAAACTCATCACGAGGAAGTCGACCCCATGGTAAGTTTCAAGCAGATCGCCATGGTCAAGTTCCTAATTCATGCATATCAATTCGCTCGACTCTTTAGTGACTTCCGTACCTGCTCGGAGCTTCCCCTACCTACGGGATTTTTACAGATTCAAGTTCACTAATCACTCTTGCTCACCCTAATAAGAGTGCGAATCGCCATCTGAAGCTTTGGGTGAGGTGAGCAAGGCCTCATTCACCACTCAAATGACCTTCAAATCCAACAAATCCTTCTGAGCTGATTTCAATTTTGACGAACTCAAGCACAGCGCAGCAATGCAGCTAACGAGTTTTCACATGCGAAGAACACAGTCTCAATTAGCCGAGAGATGACTTAGCCATCATCGCTTCACTGCGCAAACCGTCCTTTCACTCTCATGCAGAGAGAGGCATCGTCTCCATTCTGCTGTCGCGGTCATTTCTAACTGCTGTGATTTGGTTTCGTTGTTTCCGGCCAGGAACGAAAGCGGCTTATGTATTCGATATCGTACGAAATGAGATGTCCTCTGCTTGAGAGTGAGGGCAATTCGTGCAAGTGAAGGGATGGCGAGAAATGTTGCAAATCGGTGAGATGAAGAAAGGATGGATCTTACGATTCGTTCGTGGAAATACACCGGTTTATGCACCTTTAAATCGAACACAATTTGCAAGTAAGCAATATATGCGTGTATATGAAACTTGACATGCAAATATAGGGGCTGCTTTGCCTTTTAATATGAGAATTCGTTTGTGTAGGTACTTTTAATTGTAGCACTCTGAAGTACGTCCGTATCTAACTGCTAAAACAACGTTTGGTCTTCCTCCCAGAGAGTAATGGAAACCACATCAGTCAAACAATCTCTACATAATGCTCAAAAATCTTTTTAGGAAGATGAATGCCCGAAGCGTATCGCTTTAACCAAGCAACACGCACCAGCTCTCAGTGCATGCGCTCCTCGCGCCCGTCGAGCCAGCTGGTACAATTGATGCAGCGAACAGCCTGGGGGCTCAGCAAGTCAGCGACGAAATACCAACAGAAGCCGAAACACACAACACAACCCACCCACCTTGACGCTAATTCGTTTCTTGCAGTACCGACACTTAACAGTGTGTTTGATAATATCGTCTTTCGAGAAATACTGGTAGGTGGATGCCAGCGCGTAGAGCATGACGCCCAGACAGAGAAAGCTGACCACATTACGGATGAAACCGCTAAGATAAAGTAAAGTCAACTAGTTGGCACGTACGCTCGCTTGCTTGACTGTTCAGGTGGAATAGACGTACCCGTATGCCAAAACCACTGCGCCGTCCTCCTTTGCCAGGCCGATGGTGTTGTAGCCGCCCTCGTCTTCGTAGTTGGGTCCGGGCCTGAGAACGAAGAATTTCTCATCCATGTTGCGGTTCAGCGGGATCATAACTGACAAGGGTGGGAGCAGAATATCGTTCACGAATGAGTTTGTCACGGTTGTGAAGGCGTTGGCTAGACTATCCCGTCATGACCGTGGTCAGCAGGGGTCATTCTTCGCGCCGTGTGTCATTTACTCGGTACGAGTCTTCTTGTGACTCAGGGGAACCATAAACTTCGTCATGCCTCGTACGGGAGGACGGGTAAGAAGCAGGGAGTGTGACTGACATCAAACCAAATGCGATTTCAAGGATATTGCCCGAGAAGGCAAAATCAATGAAGCTCGCGAACATACGCTTTGCGCGTTCCTCGCCTTGCTCGAGCAAGCTCTGCTCCTCAGTATTAGCAGCAGGTGGAATTGTCGAGCCATATTGGAGGGGCATTGTTTTCAAGGTCCTGGGTCGAGGCGCTTATGCCCAAGCACGTGGGAATTTGACACAAAAAAATCAGAAAATATCGATCACTTTGATTGTCTCTCAAACAGAAAAGAAATCTTTTCGTACGAAGATAGATTTTTGCTTTATCAGGCACTGGTGGAAGGAGAATTTTGGGCAAAGGATGGGTGTGGTTAAAAACGGTCACATTGGAGGGAGCATCAGGTGGGGGGGAGGGAGCGATAACAACGAACACTCACGCCTGCAGTTTTTATCTGGGACGTGCTATGAACCTGCCCCGTAAGCGCAGGTACGTGCGCAGATGAAGGAAAAAAATTGTCTGGATGATATCCTTGTATTATTACATTTTTAAAGCATTCGCTATATTTCCCTTCTATCGGGGACATAAACAGCAGAAGAAGAAGAGAAGAAGAAGAAGAAGATATGATGCTGCCAAAATTTCCATGCAAATACATCGCGTCTATGGAGGTATCCTGCCAAACCAAACCAGTATCAACGCTAAATGGGAATATGCAATATTAGTATCGTGGTGAATCGCTTCGAGCGATCCAAGCCAACTTATAAGCGTATCGAACAAAACGGCTCGCGATCCGGTCGCGATCAGAATGAGAAGGTGCTGTGTGACAGGCCTTTTTCACCGTCATGTATGGAACCGTCGTCCATGATGATCCATTTCTGCGTAAACTTGAGTGTTGCCAATGACCAATAAAGGGAG